GGGGAAGCAGGGGGAAAGGGGGGGGGAAGCAGAAGGAAATGGGGGGGAAAGCAGAAGGAAATGGGGGGGAAAGCAGAAGGAAATGGGGGGGAAAGCAGAAGGAAATGGGGGGGAAAGCAGAAGGAAAAGGGAAAAAATAGAAGGAAAGGGGAAAAAAATAGAAGGAAAGAGGGCAACTAGAGGAGGAGGAGGAAGGAGATGGAGGAGGAGGAGGAAGGAGATGGAGGAGGAGGAGGAAGGAGATGGAGGAGGAGGAGGAAGGAGATGGAGGAGGAGGAGGAAGGAGATGGAGGAGGAGGAGGAAGGAGATGGAGGAGGAGGAGGAAGGAGATGGAGGAGGAGGAGGAAGGAGATGGAGGAGGAGGAGGAAGGAGATGGAGGAGGAGGAGGAAGGAGATGGAGGAGGAGGAGGAAGGAGATGGAGGAGGAGGAGGAAGGAGATGGAGGAGGAGGAGGAAGGAGATGGAGGAGGAGGAGGAAGGAGATTGGAGGAGGAGGAGGAGGAAGGAGGATGGAGGAGGAGGAGGAGGAAGGAGGATGGAGGAAGAAAGATGGAGGAAGAAGGATGGAGGAAGGAGGAAGGAGGAGCCCATGGGTGGTGAGGAAGAGGAAGAAGGAACAGGAGCCCATGGGTGGTGAAGGAGAAGGTCCCACCCAAACATGTCCTCAACCCCTGGAAAAGGAGTTGGTTCCTCCACCCCAGAAGCTGCTGGTGGGTTCTTGGCTCTGGAGGTGCCAACTGACCTGATGAAGGTGCCTTTGATGTCCTGGAGAGGTTGGAGCAGCCAATGGGAAGTGAGGAAACAACAGGAGAGGGAAAAAGGGTTAGTGGGAAGAACTGAACCCACCCCAGAACCATCTCCAGATCCACCCAACCCCCCCCAGATCCATCCAACCCCCTCCAAGATCCATCCAACCCCTTCCAGATCCATCCAACCCCTTCCAGATCCACCCAACCTCCAGACACATCCACCCATCTCCAGATCCACCCACCCCCCTCCAGATCCATCCAACCCCTTCCAGATCCATCCAACCTCCTCCAAGATCCACCCAACCCCCCCAGATCCATCCAACCCCCTCCAGATCCCATCCAACCCCTTCCAGATCCATCCAACCCCTTCCAGATCCACCCAACCCCTTCCAGATCCACCTAACCCCCTCCAGATCTGGGGGGGAAACCAGAGGGAAATGGGGGGGAAACCAGAGGGAAATGGGGGGGAAACCAGAGGGAAATGGGGGGGAAACCAGAGGGAAATGGGGGGGAAACCAGAGGGAAATGGGGGGGAAACCAGAGGGAAATGGGGGGGAAACCAGAGGGAAATGGGGGGGAAACCAGAGGGAAATGGGGGGGAAACCAGAGGGAAATGGGGGGGAAACCAGAGGGAAATGGGGGGGAAACCAGAGGGAAATGGGGGGGAAACCAGAGGGAAATGGGGGGGAAACCAGAGGGAAATGGGGGGGAAACCAGAGGGAAATGGGGGGGAAACCAGAGGGAAATGGGGGGGAAACCAGAGGGAAATGGGGGGGAAACCAGAGGGAAATGGGGGGGAAACCAGAGGGAAATGGGGGGGAAACCAGAGGGAAATGGGGGGGAAACCAGAGGGAAATGGGGGGGAAACCAGAGGGAAATGGGGGGGAAACCAGAGGGAAATGGGGGGGAAACCAGAGGGAAATGGGGGGGAAACCAGAGGGAAATGGGGGGGAAACCAGAGGGAAATGGGGGGGAAACCAGAGGGAAATGGGGGGGAAACCAGAGGGAAATGGGGGGGAAACCAGAGGGAAATGGGGGGGAAACCAGAGGGAAATGGGGGGGAAACCAGAGGGAAATGGGGGGGAAACCAGAGGGAAATGGGGGGGAAACCAGAGGGAAATGGGGGGGAAACCAGAGGGAAATGGGGGGGAAACCAGAGGGAAATGGGGGGGAAACCAGAGGGAAATGGGGGGGAAACCAGAGGGAAATGGGGGGGAAACCAGAGGGAAATGGGGGGGAAACCAGAGGGAAATGGGGGGGAAACCAGAGGGAAATGGGGGGGAAACCAGAGGGAAATGGGGGGGAAACCAGAAGGAAATGGGGGGGAAACTAGAGGGGGAAACTAGAGGGAAATGGGGGGGAGACCAGAAGGAAATGGGGGGGAGACCAGAAGGAAACTAGAGGGAAATGGGGGAAACTAGAGGGAAATGGGGGGAGACCAGAAGGAAATGGGGGGGGAAACCAGAAGGAAATGGGGGGGAAACCAGAAGGAAATGGGGGGGAAACCAGAGGGAAATGGGGGGGAAACCAGAAGGAAATGGGGGGGAAACTAGAGGGGGAAACTAGAGGGAAATGGGGGGGAGACCAGAAGGAAATGGGGGGGAGACCAGAAGGAAACTAGAGGGAAATGGGGGAAACTAGAGGGAAATGGGGGGAGACCAGAAGGAAATGGGGGGGGAAACCAGAAGGAAATGGGGGGGAAACCAGAAGGAAATGGGGGGGAAACCAGAGGGAAATGGGGGAGGCCAGAAGGAAATGAGGGGAAATCAGAAGGAAATGGAGCCTCCCCAGGGCAGCTCCCTGGGCCTCCAGCTGCCTGACGTTGCTGCCCTGCCTGGCCAGGAGGGTCTCATAACGTTCCTCCAGCTGGTGCAGCAGCAGAACCTGCTCCCCAATCAGGAACTGGTGGAGCAGCTCAAAGTCTGACTCCAGCTCCTTCATCTCCAGCTTCATCTTGTCCTGCCCGGCCAGGGAAGGAAGGGAAACAAGGAGCTGCAGCTTCAGATTCCTCCAGATTCTTTCCCATCCCCAAATTCATCCCTTGTCTTTCAAATCCATCCCCAAATTCATCTCTTCTCCTTCAAATCCATCCCCTCTCCCCCAAATCCATCCCCAAATTCATCCCCTCACCCCAAATTCATCCCCAAATTCATTCCCTCTCCCCAAATCCATCCCCATCCCTGAAATTCATTCCTTCTCCCCCAGATCCATCCCCAAATTCATCCCCAAATTCATCCTCACTCTCCCAGATTCTTCCCCATCCCCAAATTCATCCCCCCTCCCCCAAATTCATCCCCAAATTCATCACCTCTCCCCCAAATCCATCCCTTCTCCCCCAAATCCATCCCCAAATTCATCCCCTCTCCCCAAATCCATCCCCAAATTCATCCTTTCTCCCCCAAAATCCATCCCCAAATCCATCCTCACTCCCCCAGATTCTTCCCCACCCCCAAATTCATCCCCTCTCCCCCAAATCCATCCCCAAATTCATCCCTTCTCCTTCAAATCCATCCCCAAATTCATTCCCTCTCCCCAAATCCATCCCCAAATTCATCCCCTCTCCCCCAAATCCATCCCAAATTCATCTCCTCTCCCTGAAATTCATCCCTTCTCCCTCAAATCCATCCCCAAATTGATCCTTTCTCCCCCCAAATCCATCCCCATCCCCAAATCCATCCCCAAATTCATTCCTTCTCCCCCAAATCCATCCCCAAATTCTTCCCCATCCCCAAATTCTCCTGAATTAACCTCAAAACCCAGCAGGGTCCAACCTCCCCTTCCTGATCCCAAGGAGCAAAGAACCTCAAGAACCACCAGGAAGAACTTCCCTGCTCCCCAAAAATCCCTCCCCCCCCCAAACTCCTCCCTCTGAGGACCTGGAGTGGGTTTTTTTTGGGGAAAAAACCCTGGAATTAAACCCTCTTACCCTCAACTCTGTGATTTTCTCCTCCTCGTGGGATTTTTGCTTCATTATTGTGTCCAACTTCTTCTTCAGGGGCTCCAAGTGGCTCTGGAGCTTGTTCTGAAAGGAGAAAAAGGGATTTAGAACATCCCAGAGTTGGAGAAAAATCACCTTTTTCCTCCTAAAAATGCCACAAAAACCCACCAAGAAACATCCCACCCAACCTGGTCCTTTCTCCTGGTCACCACAAACACCCCAAGAAGCTCCTGAGGAGCTTCAAGAGGGGTTGAATCCTGCTCCTTCCTTTTGGAAAAGCCCCAGAAAATGAAAAAAAACACAATTTTCAGCCATAAAAACCCCAAAATTGGTCTTTTTGCCTCACGTTTCTCCTCCCACCCCTCTAAAAAACCAACAAAACACCCCCAAAAATGAAAACACCACAATTTTCAGTCATAAAACCCCCAAAACTGCCCTTTTAACTTCATGTTTCTCCTCCCATGCCCCCCAAAAACCCAACAAAACACCCCCAAAAATAAGGAGACCACAATTCATCCCCTCTCCCTGAAATTCATCCTTTCTCCCCCAAAATCCATTCCCAAATTCATCCTCACACCCCCAGATTCTTCCCCATCCCCAAATTCATCTCTTCTCCCTCAAATCCATCCCCAAATTCATTCCCTCTCCCCAAATTCATCCCCAAATCCATCCCCATCCCCAAATTCATCCCCTCTCCCCCAAATCCACCCCTAAATTCATCCTCACTCCCCCAGATTCTTCCCCATCCCCAAATTCATCCCTTCTCCTTCAAATCCATCCCCAAATTCATTCCCTCTCCCCCAAATCCATCCCCAAATTCATCCCTTCTCCCCCAAATCTATCCCAAATTCATCCCCAAATTGATCCCTTGTCCCCCAAATCCATCCCAAATTCATCTCCTCTCCCTGAAATTCATCCCTTCTCCCTCAAATCCATCCCCAAATTGATCCCTTCTCCCCCCAAATCCATCCCCATCCCCAAATCCATCCCCAAATTCATTCCTTCTCCCCCAAATCCATCCCCAAATTCTCCTGAATTAACCTCAAAACCCAGCAGGGTTCAACCTCCCCTTCCTGATCCCAAGGAGCAAAGAACCTCAAGAACCACCAGGAAGAACTTCCCTGCTCCCCAAAAATCCCTCCCCCCCCCAAACTCCTCCCTCTGAGGACCTGGAGTGGGTTTTTTTTGGGGAAAAAACCCTGGAATTAAACCCTCTTACCCTCAACTCTGTGATTTTCTCCTCCTCGTGGGATTTTTGCTTCATTATTGTGTCCAACTTCTTCTTCAGAGGCTCCAAGTGGCTCTGGAGCTTGTTCTGAAAGGAGAAAAAGGGATTTAGAACATCCCAGAGTTGGAGAAAAATCACCTTTTTCCTCCTAAAAATGCCACAAAAACCCACCAAGAAACATCCCACCCAACCTGGTCCTTTCTCCTGGTCACCACAAACACCCCAAGAAGCTCCTGAGGAGCTTCAAGAGGGGTTGAATCCTGCTCCTTCCTTTTGGAAAAGCCCCAGAAAATGAAAAAAA